GTATGTGATTGATCCTTGGATGCCGCAGTTATGTGATTGAGTGATAAATAAACAAATGGCAGAATAATGTGCTATTTAATGACCTCAATAGGCCCTTTGTATTAAGTCGTGGGTCCCATGGAGCGGGCTTCTTTGTCAACATTTGCAGCGGCGAAGTGACTGACAGAAAAATCAACAAGTGGCAGAATAATATGGAACTATTAAGACTTTTAAGACACTACAATGACAGCCATGGCGCTGCACAGAACCGCCAGTGGGTTGGTCAACTCATGCCATGAATGTAAAGTGATTAACAGGAAAAGCAATAACTTGGGATTTTTTTTTTCTTTTTTAGTCTGATCGGCTCATGAGTACCGTAAGGCCCTGGGCTTCAACCCAGGCAAGGCCGTTTATTCAAAATCACCACACGGGGACAAGTAAATGGCTAAAAGGAAGTGCAAATCACACTTGCTCAAATGTGGATTTAATCACTATCAGCTTCAAAAAACAATTTTGATAAATGCCTTGATCTCCCCAGGAAAGAATCTGCTGATGGAATCATTTAATTTAGTCAGCGGGGGACTACGTACTGTATATAAAAGCAACGGGAGATAAGCATCTTAACTGGTCCCTTGACTAATGGCACTGATTGCTCAACATTGTACTAATTTGCTGTAATGGCATGAACCGGTAACTGCTTGACTCGAGACAAAATAGCTTGCAGAAAACGGCACAAAGGATGTCCTTAATGATTTCGAGGAAAGAGTCTTGTGGAGTTTACATGATTGATTTGCCCTTTTTACTCTGAGTAAACCCAAACGCCAAGCTATACCAGTCAAACACTGACTTATTGTATAAAGGAGGCACATAACTGCAAGACTATTGTGTTTGTGCCCTCCTTTGAAAAATCCACCTACTGATCCTGGAAAGCGAATTCAGAGATTTGGATCTAAATACATAATGTTTGAAGATAACTGCATCAAACACATGCAAAGACTGAAAACTATGCTGTGCTTGATTGTGGCGATGGCATTCAAATTCTTGAAATGTCAGTTTTCCTGATTTGGGGGCGGGGGGCTTGGATAAAAGAGGGCACATCGGTGCAAAATAATGTGCCATTCATCTATCCGCCATCATCTTTACAAGATGGATGACACTTTAAATGGTTTTGACGTCTTTTGATAAACAATCAGCAACTGTGGGCTGGATGTGGATGAACCCCCTGAACCCACTCTCCATTCCCTTGCATGCCTCCGCCCACCATATAAGAAGCTGAACGCCTCGTTCGTATCACCTTTTATCCGGTGCGAATATAATGTGCAGTTAGCTAGCTAGCTAGCTAGCTAACTATGCCTAACTATGCCTACAGCCTGAAAATGCATCTTCCCTTCTGATACTCTGCTGGCATATATACGCCAAATACACCTATGTCAAAGGTTTGGGGACAGGGTTCAATAACAAAATGTCAGTGTTGCATTAACACTACCCAGTAATAAAATAGTCTGTATTGTCTAGGATGTAACATTAAAACATTCAAATGGGGTGTCACTTGGATTTTTCCATGATTGGTGTCCATTTGAAATGGAAACCATGCCCTTATGTAATGGCATAGGTTCACTGGTTAGAGTCAAGAGACAATTTTCTTGATGAGCAGTTTTCACATGAAAATGGAGAAAGAACGTACAGGACATTGTGGCCGACAGCTATTTTGTATGAGGCGTCTGAAATGGATCTAATAAAAGAAATTTGTTTTGAATTGAAATCTTAATCTTGTAGTGTGTTTTATTTAAGGTAGTAAGGCACTCCCTCCCCCCCACACTGTATAGTGTTGGCATGAACTCTCATTAGTGTTCATCTAAACACTCAATAGTGCAATCATGTCACAATTATTGCACTGTCAACAGTACGTTTTGTTGCTGTATAGCACACTATTGGTTGTTGAACATTGAACACTTTATCAAATGACACTTTGGTACCAGTTAGTGTGAATCCATATAGACACTTTTCTGGTGTTGAAATTAGCACACTTAGTGTAGAATTAACTCTAACAGGTTTGCAGTGTAGGTGCTTCAGAGTGCCTCGTTGTCCACCATGAGTGTGCGCACTTTTCACAATTTACAAGTCTCGTTTAAAAGACGTTTTCAAATCAATCAATTTGGCAGTGTTTTTAACAACTCTCTTCTCTGTGGTTTGTCAAATTTAGGAGATGTACACTTTACGAGTAAGTATTGCAGTCCATGCAATTTTCAATTGGGAGTGCCCGCCTGAGGTCAGCCGCTGTCCCACATTTGGAATCAGGTTTCAGAGGTAGAAAGTGGATGCTGAGCACTGTGCTGCAGTATAAATATGACAACTCTGTCCTGGCCAGGTCACAGTGTCCTATCGCGCATCACAATGTGTGTTGTCTATCCCAGCCCACCACCAACAAGATGGGATGTTGCATTTCTCCTCTCCCAAGGCCCCATGAACTTAGCTGTCATATACTTACTTCAATCAGTGTTTTTGCTCCCAGATCCCTCTGCCTTTTTTCTGCCTCGCTTCTCTCTCCCCCTTGGTCAGGCCTCATGCAACTTTTACTTCCTCATCACTTCTGCTCATCCGCTCCAGCCTCCATCTGCTCGCCTTCCTCTTCCCTTCCAGCCCGAGCCTTTAAATTCTCTCTCCAATGTCCCTTTCTTTCCTTCTTAAAATTCATTATTTTCCTCGAGCCACTCTAAAAATTCCCCCGCTTCTCCAAGCTTTACCGGACGGTCCAGGTACAGAAAGTGGGGTTAACCTGCACCTGGAGCTGCTCCTTCATGACTCACTTACTGTCGTGAAGTTCAGCTCAGGCTGCATCCTTCAGATGTAGTCGAAAGTAACAACATTAGAGAGAAATCTCACGCACACATTCCCCTGCACTTCCAACCTGAACACGCCAACTGGGTTTTTTCTTCCTGAATTCCAAAGGGAAGCATTCAGAATAATGAACAAAGTGATTTTTAATTGGCCATATGGTCGTACTCTTCCCTGCAAATAGGCCATATTTGAAGCTAAATCTGGCTTTTGCTGATGAAGAACTCCAAGAGCTGATATGAAAGAAAGTGGCACCGAGAGTTACATTTTATTTTTTTGTCTTTTCTGCTGCCCACTTGTGCTATATAATTCATAGGCAGTCAGGCCCAGTAACTAAGCAGTTATGTCTATGCATGGCGCATGTACTTGAAGTGCAGCAGGATTGTGACTCAACCCCTCCCCACCTTATCAGGTCAGAGTGAACTGCTAAGCCCTTTTGCAAACCCATTGCTAACCAAAACAACAACACCTAAACAGTTCCTCAGATTTCTATTTTTAACAAAGAAAATCAGACTGCATTGTATCAAAGCAATGAAACATAAAAAAGACAACGTGAAGAAATACACTGGTTGTTATCAAGAGTAATTACTGTGTGTGGCAACAAGCCAAGTCACAACAACAACTGTAGTGTGTGCCTTTAAGGGGTGTGGCTCAGTGAGTGACATCCAGAACATGGCCAGTGAGTCATTGTGTGAGCTTTTGGGCGTGACTTTTGGCTAGTGCTGAAAAATTGCATTCAAATTCAAATCAATAGTAATGTAGTCAAATGCAATTTTCAAATCACAATGGCTGCAATTAGGAAGGAAAAAAAACTAATCTTAAACTATAAGAACAAAACATTTATGTATAATTTAATATTTTTTATTGCATCCATCCATCCATTTTCTGAACCGCTTTATCCTCACAAGGGTCGCGTAGGGTGCAGGAGACGATCCCAGCTGTCTCCGGGCAGTAGGCGGGGGACACCCTGAACCGGTTGCCAGCCAATCGCAGGGCACACAGAGACGTAGTACAGATTAATTTATTACCTATGTTTGTTTAGCAAAAAATACTTGGGAAGAGGACATTGAAAAAAAGAATTGCATATTAAATCTCAATCGCAAAATTGGGAGGACAGAATTGCACTGGATTGTTGTTGAAGCCCTTTGCAAGTGTATAATTTTTGTATTTGTGTGACTGTTTCTAGAGTTCAATAAATGGCTGAAAGTGCATCAGTAACTGTGGCACTCCTTTTTCTGGCTCTCTTTATTATCTGAGACTTATTCATTTTTCAGATATTGGGTTGTGCCACAATGCAAAAAAAAAGTTCAACCAAGTCACTTCTCTTAACTCAAAAAACTTGCAACTTGGGGCACTCGTAAATCAAGCTACGGCCCTGTTTGGTTCTGAACTCCAACTAAAATAAATGTGTAGGCCACAATTTGTGGAAACATAGTCAAAGTAAAAAATACTTAAATACTGTATAATGAAAACTAATTAAACATTTTCATCCACTGTTTAAAATATTTTTTTATCTGGGCTTGGGACACTGGCTGGAAATCAAACCTGTGCTGTCTGCATGAAAGGCAGTGGCATGCACCACTATACACCACTAATGCAATAAAATTGGTTGGCCAGTGTCCTGGAACAGATTGTGTTCGACTTTAGAGATTGTGACCTGCACTTATGGTCCCTTGTTCTCATGTGATGTTGCCTGAATTGCGTTGTGTAATCTCGCTGTCGGTGCAGCCCCAGCCATTATTTCGGCCACTTTTGGGTCATGTTTTTTTTTTCGACTGGGTTATTGATTTCACCCAAAAAGCTGGGTTGAAATGAAGAAGCCACAAAAAAACCCAAATTTGGTTTGTCTCTGTACAAAACAATTGTTGTTTTGCGCAAAAGAAACTATTTTTTAGGTTGTTTTGTGCAAAACAACCCAGGAAGTTGGGTCCAATTGACAGGGTCGGTCACATTTGTCCCAGATTTTAATTTATTTTAGATTGCATTTTGTGTTATCTTTGATTCAACTGTTTTTAAAGTGAGGCAGATTAAAAAATACCAAGTTTAGAGAAAAGTTGTGGAATGAGCGGTGATTGCAAAATTTGTGCTGTCGCCGATGCGTGTGTGCGTGTGAGTGTGAGTGTGTGTGCGTGTGTGTGTGTGTGTGTGTGTGTGTGTGTGTGTGTACGAGCGCGCGCTCGACTCACGGTAGAAGATGTACTGCGCGTAATTGGACCAGAGCCTGTCGTCCGCGTAATGAGCGACAGAGGAGGCAGTCAGGGAGGAGTTGCAAGCCACGATGTGAAAGCCGCTCTCTGACAGCATGTCAAACGCCCTCTCCGGGTGCTTGAACTTGAGGTAAAACCTGCACGTGTAGCGGTCCGGGGGTCGGTCCGCGTCTCTGTTCTCGTTGAGCGCGTCTCCGAAGACCTCCTTGGCCAAAGCAATCCTGCTGCTGATGAAGATCCTCGGCAACTTTCTACTCTTGGGGTCGGGCTCGCTTTCTTTGCCCCCCGCCGCTCCTCTCAGAGCCACTGTGATGTAGCCGTACCTCCTGTCTAAAGAGTAAGACGGGTAAAATCTGTGCTCACTGCCCACGGACGCATCGTCCAAATCGCTGTGGTCGTCCGGGAGCAGTTTGGACTCCTCAGACGATAAAAGTTTGGCTAAATCTGGCAGCTGGAAGTATTCCGCCTCCCGTTTCAACCTTCCCCTCTCGGGAAAGTGGTCCGGGAGGACGACTTGCTTGTCCCGCAGGTAATCCAATACGTACCGAAACAAAAAGCCATCTCGGTCAATGAAGTAACGTCCTCGAAAGTCACGGGACAGGTCATTGGAAGAGCCCTTCTTGTTGGAGAACAGCTTCCCGAGTAGGGAATTTGGGAAGGCGGTCAGTGTGACGTGGCGGGTGTAGTATACCTGCCCACCCACGTTCAGCTCGATGACATCCGATGGAGGGCTCTGCGCCGAGCCGGGCTCTTTGGCTGGTTTGCAGCTTTCGCTCATTTCCCTCTCTCCTCTTAATCTTGCCTTGGAATATGAGTAGATAGATGGCGTCAATTTCAGTGCGCGCGATGCAGATGCATGCTGGCAAAGCACTCACAAACCAAAGCCTCGGTCATCACAATCCAAGGTGTGTCACCCGTTTAAATCCTTTGAGTCCGTGCGTAAATTTGCGCATCCTTTTTTTCAACGCAATCGATCATCATAAGATCATCGTGTTACACGCTTCCACTGCGATGCCTATAGAGGATCATCATTTTCACTCTGTAACTCACCACCACCAATAAAGTAGAAATCCTGTATTTTAAAGCGTCTTCTTTACTCGCGGACCAAGATCAGTGCGTAAAAGTCTCAGTTCCACTCTGGTTGGATGCTGCCAACTGTCCGAGGAGGTGATGGATGCAAGTGGGACTCCGGTGCGCACCCACATCCCTCCAAAGTGCTGAGTGCGACCAGCAGACGGTTTAAGATCATGTTGAGCAAGCTGTGAACGAGATTGCGAGAGTGAGAGAGAGAGAGAGCGAGAGAGAGAGAGAGAGAGAGAGAGAGAGAGAGAGAGCGAGAGCGCGAGCGAGAGAGGTCCAATAATGTCTTACATCATCTTAAAGACAAATGACATTTGCATAGCGAAAGACATGATGTGTGTGGGTCAAAAACAATAAATAAATAAACATTAAAAAAATAAATAAATCGGCTAATGCAGTTTTATCATCCAGCCTTGCACATTTTAATCCTGTTATGGGCTGTCCCATATTAACATGTAAGGTCATAACCAGAGAGAGAGGCAATGGGAGGGGTTGGCGCTGTGACTTGCGCTCATCATCATTGACAGCTATGTGGGACCAGATGCAGCCGGGCCTCGCTGCTGTAATCAAACATCTAATACATTTGAAATTAAGTCAACCCTGACACTTTCTTTGTCACCCGATCACTCAATTGGAAAATCCATCGGATTGGCATCATTGGATTCAAAATTAGTCTTGATTTCAGACCCAATACATTTATTCATTTTCTGCACATTCACATGGCTCTATGTCAGGGAGGGTTGGGCACAATTTTTCATCACTACGACTGTGGAGGCCACCGAGGACCACGCACTTCCTAACCAAGTCCAGTATATGACAAAAATTCTATTTTAAATATGGGCAAAATATGTGCATACATACAAAATAATTAATATACTGTATAATACAGTCTGTATTACATTTTTGTGAATACATTTCAATATTCGAAATCTCCACCCCACCCACCCACTCATTTTTGGATCCGCTTTATCCTCACAAGGGTCGCGGGGTGTGCTGGAGCCTATCCCAGCTGTCTTCAGGCAGTAGGCGGGGTACACCCTGAAGTGGTTGCCAGCCAATCGCAGGGCACACATAGACGAACAACCATCCACGCTCACGCTCGCACTCACACCTAGGGACAATATAGAGTGTTCCATTAGCCTGCCACGTATGTTTTTGGAATGTGGGAGGAAACTGGAGGACCCGGAGAAAATCCACGCAGGCACAGAGAGAACATGCAAACTCTGCACAGGAAGGCCGCAGCCGGAATCAAACCCTGCACCTGCAGACAGCAAAACGTTGCAAAAATGAAAGAATATGTACATATATGACAAGCGGTGCAATAAATGACCTGCTTCCATTCAGAACACAACATCATGGTGGATGAAAGGTTCATAACAGGCTAAAAACAGGTGCAGTGTTCATTGTACAATCTTCTTCACTAACTTTTTAAACAATATAATTGGGATGAATGAGGTGAGTTCTATTATATGTGGTAGGGGCAGATAATTGGAAAGATGGAGACCAAACCCAGAAAACAGATGAGCAGTAAAGTTCACAATACGAGCCCGTGGGCGCTTTGGCATTAATTTCAGTCAACAGCACCGCACGTGCTGCATAAAATGTCAACTTCCTTGGATTGCTGAAAATGGGTGGATTATTCAGATTAATTCTTATTACTTCAGACATGAACACATTACAAATCTGAATAACATTTAGACTAGTGCAGCGCATAGAACACATTGCAAAGAAAAAATGTGAATAGTTTTCTGCGTTAAAGTTCATCCCATTGTGCCTTTTTGGGGTTCTTCCCATCAGATCAATCGGTTTACAACAAGAAAAAAAAAAGGATAGAATCCTGAGTCACATTATTCTGGATTTTGATGGCACGTTTACTCAGGGGAAGGAATGGGGGCCATGTTATTGCTTGGGGCTTTCTCTCATAGAATTTGCCATATTGCCATCAATATATTTCACAAAGAAGCAAAGACTTGTCTGTGGCGGGGGAAGGAAGTGGGACAGAGCAAAATTCAAGATTCTGCATTTTAGGTTTGGCACTTCATTTTAAGTACACATAAAAAAAATGCTGTGTTGTTTTCTTAACCCAGTCGCTGGATTTTGAGCAAATTGGGTTCCTTTCACCCAAAGTAGGGTTCATTATTTTGACCCATCAGATCAGTCTTAGACCAAAAACTGAAAGTCAGAAGGAGGTTTTACTGGAGTCACAATGCTCTCCCATCTTCTCACTCGTTTAGTGTAAAGTGGTAATCTCGGCTGTTTTAGGTCAGTCTTTTCCTAATCTTGGCATCACAACGATATCCATACATCCACGCATTTTCTATATTATCTTCACAAGGGTCGCCGGCATGCTGGAGCCTATACCTGTCGTAGGGCAGTAGGCGGGGACACCCTGAACTGGTTCCCAGCCAATTGCAGGGCACACAGAGACGAACAACCATTCGCACTCCCAATCACACTTAGAGATAATTTAGAGTGTTCCATTGACCTGCCATGCATGTTTTTGGAATGTGGGAAGAAACCCACGCAGAGACGGGCAGAACATGCAAACTCCACACAGGAAGGCCAGAGCCGGAATCGACCCCTGCACCACTGCACTGAGGTGGATGTGCTAACCAGTTGACCACCGTGCCGGCTCCACAACAACAGTGTTAAATATTATCACAAGTCTTTCAGCGCTGACGTGACACAACTAACAACCAACAACCAATAGATGAGCTCTAACAAAACCGGAAAGAGGAAACCTTACCAAGTGGATGATGAGAAAAATTTGTATTGTGGTGGAAAAAAATGCCAAAAGAATCTAGATGCAGTCTTGTAAATAGGGTCCCTGCAAAATTCCCACTCTTTATCAAATCTCAGTCTGAGACTAGGCTGTGACTAAAAACTCTATAACTGATCTTTAAATGTGAGCAGGTTTGAGATGATATTTTTCCAAGGGTCTTTTCCAAACCTTCTCGATGTCTCCTGATGCACGATCTTCGTGTTTATGTGAACAATTATGCACATGCAACTCCCAGCATGGAAAGTAATCAACTGCTTGTTTTTCTGCTTCTTTTGCCTGTTGTGTGTTTGGAGTCACATTGTTGTAAAGCAGAGGCTTTTATTGCCACAGTGCTGATGATAGCAGAGCACCCTTGACTCTCGGTTTTGAGGAGGCAGCGGTCACGCTTTGCCCTGTTAATTCCAAGTACATTGTGCTGGAGAAGGGTTGCTAAGCAGCCACAGGGGACTGAGTGGGATTCAAACAGCCGAGATTTAGAGCTACACGAGCATGTATTTTTCTGTGGTGTGAGGTTTTGATGCTTGTGTTTGAATGTTGCTGCAATGTATTCAGCAAGGGTGTCAGTTTTGTTTTCATCGTGGGCTGTACATCAAAGTTGTGGTTCCTCTTAGAGCGCTGCTTGTAATCGTCAAACAACAATTATAATCGCTAGGGGTGTAACCAAATATCACAATTCAGTCCAAACCTTGGTTTTGAGTTTCACACTCTGTACTGTAAGAGAACAATATGCCATTAAAAATAGATTTACTGAACTTTATTTATTGAGTATTTTAACTACAACTGCACCTGTAACAAAGCGCAGAACATAAAATCCAGCTTGATTCCCTCTCATGGCACCGTTCAATATATTGTGAAAAGTTCTTAGTAAATGAGACCTAAGTCTCCGGTGATCACTAAGATGGTGTCGGGGTGATGAAATAGTAATCTATCCTGAAGTCACTTGTGTTTGCCACAGGTAAAAGTTTGAATGTAAATAAACAACAGCAGTTTGTTTACAGAAGGTAGTTAAGATAAGATAAGATAAGATATCTTATTTGTCCCACACTGGGGAAATTTACAGTCTACAGCAGCAAGATTGTGGGTAGAAAGAAGAAAAACAAAGTGTATGTATTCACAAATTCACACATAGTTCACCCATTGGTGAGTATCACACATACAGCGAGAATGATTTAAATCCTCTGTCCCATTTAGCACTCTGCCACTTCTTTTGTCCCTCTCCAGTGCTCCTCTGGGATGCATTCCTTGATGAGTGAACGCCGTTAGGCCCCATGTTGGCGCAAAGTGGCTTGAGGTTGTACCATCATAGACAAAAAAGAATATCCACTAAAAGAATATCCATACTAAAACATTAAAATAATGCAAACTGTTTAGTCCAACACCCAAATTAGTAAAGGATGTAACATATAAATAAAGGAGAAAGTTAACAGAGCTCCTAATGGGCCGCCAATTCACAACAAGCAGGGATACTCTCCACTAAATAATGTCACAGCTAAAAACACTGTAAAAACTTTTTTAACTTCAACACCCTGTTTTCGCTGGTGTAAACCGGTTCAATTAGAAACTACACATGACTCCTCAATTCCATGTTTGATTTGTTTAACTGGGCTGTCCCTCAACGCATTTCACACTGTTTCCTCATTTACCTGCTGATGACGGAGCATCCGCAGCAACTGGGTGTTCAGTATCTTGCCCCAAGACACTTGACGACCTTGCAATGGCCAGGGAATTGCACCCCCAACTTATGGATTCCTTTCCTTTTCCATTCTGGATTGTGCTTTTCTCTTCCCATTTCTCTAATCCAAATTTGGTGACATGCAAGGACTCCATACATTCAGACATTCATTGGCTGCAAAGAATTTAAATCTAAGTATTAGAAATGGTGCTTACATTTGTCAAATGTATTTAAATACTTTTTGAACCTCTGAAAATGGAGAATAGCTCCATAAATTGAGAGAAATTTCCTCAATGGTAGATTCCATAATTTTGAAACTTCTTAAATTAAAGATGAAAGTATACACTTCAATCAGATCTCGATTGCTTTATTGCTAATCCACAGCGGTGGTCATGTTCACTGTAAAGGCAAAATCATCAAAGCTCTGTAATACTTACAGTTTTTCTCACTCTCATCTTTCTGTTAACTATTCTCAGGTCCGATTGTATCTTCTGAAGGAAGCTGAATATGATGATGCTTCAGCATGAATAATGTAATATAATATGTTTTCCCACCTGGAAATGATGCAAGCAAATCTCTGCATATGAACGTCAACTTGAAAATTTTTGCATGGGCTTGACTTATTACAATCTGCCATGTGGGTTACAAGACGCTGCAGAAGTTATGAAGCATGAAAAAGAATGTCAAATGAGACACAAATAATTGGGAGTTGTGTGTTCAAAGTTTGTTGATTCAAATACATATGCTGTATATCCCTTAAAAGTAAAATATTTGCCAATATATGCATGCATGTGATCCTGCTTCATATTGCTTGCCTTTTTCCTTTCTTAGTAGATAGTGTAAGCACTGTGATGGGGCATGTCTTGGGGAAGAAGAATTTGCATTTTGTCTGATGTCAAGGGTGCAGCTATAGCATAAGCAGTACCGATTGTTGTCAAACATTGCATTGGGTTTCATGATAAAAAGGTGAAAAATTACGATTACACATATGGAAATTGTCCATTAAGGATGCAGCATCTGCTGGAGAACTGGATATCCTGTCGTGTAGAAATAGTGAAAGAGGACATGGACTTCAAACTGGATCTCAAGGATCTTGAATAAACGTTCAGACTGCATTACTAGAAACATGACCTTCTAGTTTACTCTCTGTCCTCACGAGTAGAGCAACTAATAGTGGGGCAAAACTGCTCTAGTAGACAACTATGTGCTAGTTCTACGACTCCTGTAGTGAAATGACATAATAAAAGCATAGTTCTCAACATCTAGTATTGCACAAGGAGAGTGCTCAACTAGTGAGGTTTTTCCTTTACTCTTAACTACTGTCCTTCTAGTATGCCAAAGTTGTTCTACAAGTGTTCAGAAATGTCATACAGTAGATGGAACTAGTTACTAGTCCCCCCTACTGTCTTCTACTAGTTACTAGTAGAAGACAGTAGGGGGGAAACGTAAACGTTACTTAAGACTGTAGCTCTACTAGGGTGTCCTAGTTAATCTACTTGTGCGCTGAATTGTTTTACTCGCGATAACAAAGAGTGTACAAGTACATGGACCTTAAACTGGAGATCAACAATATTGAATAAATGCTCAAACTTCATCAGTAATACTGTAGTTGTCCTATTAGTATGCTTAGTAGGATAATTTTGGGATATTCGTTGGACAACTACATGTTACTAAACACTGCGATGTCACTAGTAGTACTAGTAGCACACTGTTGTCAACCAGTGCACAGATTTGCCTCAATAGTTACATGTATTCGTGCTACTAATATGGAGAAACGTAATTCAGTCACGTAATAGTGGAAAAAAACATTTCGAGTAAAACGTTGTCATTCTACTAGTGCACCCTAGTTGATCAGTGCGCTGAAGTGTCTTACTTGTAAAGACAAAGAGCGTACTAGAACACATGAAAAAGGATATGAAGGAATTTGGAAAAACTGCTTTCCATAAAAAGCAGTAAACATTGGAATGGTGCACAACCAAAACGATTTTTAATGTAGAAATAAAATATGTATTGATATTTTAAAAATCATTTGTGTTTTATTTTTTTAATGGGAAACTTAAATCGATTACTGTAGTTTAATTTATTGAGATGCAACGAATATATAGATGGACTATAGTTACCAGTAAGTGCCGGCAGAAGTCGCTGCAGGTTGCAAAGAGCTCAGCTATGGATTCGCTTGCTTGGTTCTCCATTTTGTATGTTTTGCTTGAAGGTTAGCGTGTACAGTACTTCCCTAACGGCAAGGTGGGGAGCCCTGTAGATCAGCTTGTTTACTTGCAGCTCACTAACGACCAGTGGGCCTTCATAAAGAATCGAGAGACGGAGATTAAACTAACTCTCACTCGGCTTTGTTTCTTTTCATCGACACATGTTCGAAGAGACGACGCCAGAAAAATTCACAAGTAGCAAGTCGGTCGTGGCGTGTTGTGGTCAGCCACTTTGATCCATAACAATGTTGACTGACGACCAGTGGGATCTCATCAACCGGAAGTCACTTCAAGGGTAAATGCAAAGTTTTTCTCGAGGTTTGGCTCGATGCGTTTATTGGCTAAACACGCTGCTATTTTGGCGATATTACTTATAGCGTCATTTGAGACGTGTTGACACGCCATTCACATTGCTAGCTTAACACGGCAACAACTACCGATAAGGCAACGTTGTTGAGCTTCACGTTCCATTTTCTTAATATGAACCTTTATGTTGCCGAAGTAGTTTTAGTCGTATGTGGCCGTTTGGTCGGGCTAGCAAGCTAACGCGTGCGGGTAGTAATTGCCGTAGTTTTTTTTTTTTTTTT